GAGAGAGAGAGAGAGAGAGAGAGAGAGAGAGAGAGAGAGAGAGAGAGAGAGAGAGAGAGAGTATTATAAAGGTGTTAAATACATTTACAAGGCAAGAGAGCTGCCTCCTGCACCAAAAACTAGGAAGCTGAGATCTAGGATGTGGCTGACAGTTTGACTTCTTAAGATCTTGAATAATAAAATGTGATGTATGGAGGTATAAGGCATGGAATAATAAAATATTATTTTGTTTAGAAATACAGTGGAAACCTGATGTAACATTAATTACAGGGATGGTTGGACCAGAGAAAAAGTCCTGTACATAATGTATGTCAAATCACAGTTAAATCAGAAATGCAAGGGAAGTAAGCATTTGTGGACTAATTCAGCTGTATTTATTTATGAGTAGTTTCCCTTGCCACAAGTACCATGTGGCAGGTCTGTGCATGACACTGACACATTACGTGTGTGGGTAGCTACGGCTAGATCGAAGTCTGCAGCACACAGTAGCCCTCTCTCGCTTCACCCGCTGTGTGTGCTTGCAGTGGGGTGACTTGTGTGGGCTTGCTCCATCACTGCGTTACTCCCTCTTTCTCTCTCTCTTACTTTTTACACATTGTTAACGAGCCTTTGTTCCTGCTATAACCGATTGGGCGCTCCGATGAGGCCCTGTTATTGCCGATAACTTTTAATAGAGACAAAGAGTAGGAAAAAAAGGGGATTTAAATTATCGGATCTCGTTATTTCCGGGCCTGTTATATATGGTTATTGGGGTCGGACCAAAAACAGTCTTCAATTGTAAAATTATTATACTGTTATAGTATAGCTCATATCATAATTGTTATTTTTATATTTTACTGTGGACATAATATAGACACTGAAAAAAGTACAGGCTATCTTAGAAAAAGGACCCATTTGAAGATTAAAGGACAACACTCAGTAATTTTTGCATCAAATATAACAAAACTTCGAACAATATGAAGAAAATTGACTTGCCTAACCGAGAAATATCAAGTACGATCTTAATGCACCTAACCAAAACTGAGTTAACTCAAAACTTTATGTCTTCTTAGAAATCATCCATAATGCGTATACACACATTAAATAACAAATGAATCAAAAATGACATTGCCAGATCAACTACTGGAAGATGGTGGCTATCTAAATTCTATGCTTAAGCTGTTGACCATTTCTCTACACACAAGCCGACACCACTGGAAATTTTTATGAACTCTGAACCAGGAGCATGTCACTGTTTCGATTCTTTGGACTACATATTGGTTCAACATTGAGTTTCAACTGTTCAATTGTCTGTGTTCTGTTTCCCTAGACTTAAAGACCTTTTATAACCTCCTAGGGTTAGACTATATCTACTTGGTAAATAAACATTCTTCGTAATTATGATACACTGTTGCTGTAGATTTGATTCTGTGATTATATGAAGGATGGGCATCCCTTGAAATTGCTGAATTTAGGTCAGATTATTACATTCGACTTGTATACTAAGCTACTGCTTTGAGATGTTCAGCCACTTCTGTATCTAAAAATAAAAGCAATGACAAGATTTAGAAACCTTCTATTTGTCATAAGCTGGTTTGAAAATCTGAAAATAGTGAATCATAGCAAATGTCTGCAAGAAACAAACTTTTTTTTCCACAAAACAATTTGTTGGTGCAGTCAGTTGCTAACTACTCTTAAAAAAATTCTGCATTCTATTTCATGAAAATTCCAGAAAATATTCAATGCAAATAAACAAAATCCCACACAGAATAAAATGTGTATGATTGCGGTGTGTGTGTGTGCATTAATATATGTGAGGCAGCGTGGTGAAATCAAGCGCTCGTCAGTTTTGGGGCATATGAAGTTATTGGTTTCATCGTAAAGACTGTCCATTTGCCTTTATTTTGATGAAAAAAACATCCATTTATCTTGAATACAAGTTATGATACAAGCGATTGAAGGAAATGGGGGTCACATGGTTTCAGAGGTAAAATAAGAGAGAAAATGGCCGCCAAAGTTGAATTATTTTCTTTGCTTGAGAGTCCGAGAAAATTTACATTTTTTAATGACTGTAATCAACCTTTTTCAGTAAAAATCCGCACTGAAATGTGTTCTTCAAAGGGTATGAAAGGTGTTGAGCCAAAAAACAAAAATTTGATAAAAATTCCCAAACATGCAGAAAAATGCCAGTTTCTTGACTTTCATTATTTTGACGAGCGTTCGATTTCACCTCGCTGCCTCACATATGATAGGCTATTTATAATTATAGTTAGGTCTAATACATAGGCCTACTGCACCAAACTCGATGCCCACAAGAAAACTAATTATTTGATTTATTCATAACTTTCCCAATTTTGCATGGACTTGCACTAAATTTGAAAGGAATTATATTTGATCATCCAGTAGCCATAATCAATGACTATACACAAATCTGAAAAAGTCAGCAGATGAGCACCACTGTATCATCCATGTCGGGAGCATTTCCTTCTTTTAAAAATTAGTGCACTTTTGCTCAGCGTCTGTATTTCAGGGTTCATGAAGACCATTTTTGGAAACTGCTAATGTTATCAGCAGTAACAGTCTGGTGGCAAAGAAATAGGCACTTGCCAGTAATTGGGTTAGCGATGACAGTGAAATACTCTTTTTGTCTGTGGCTTGTTCGAGGACCAAAAGGAGTCTCACTACAACATAATTAATAATACACCACATAACACATAAAATGTGGTAGACTAGAATAGAAGTTATTTTGAAAAGCTGACCTAGCCAGGTATCATAAAATAGGTTAAAAAGCTGCATAATGCCTAAGAGCATGAATACCGACCGATACCATTTCAATGGCCATAGAGAATGCATTCCCCTCACCTGGCAGATCAATGGCATTCAGGCTGACCAAATAAAAAGATCACAAGGAGCACGTCTTCATTAATAGTCGTGAGTAAATAAAGACCCTCATCTCCCAATAACTTCAGGAAAGCCAAGTACAATGTGTTATAATCATTATTATTCGCAAGCATGTTAAAAAACCCATAACACTAACACTGTTGTATATCCAACAAGTTTAAACGAAACTTGCAGTCTGAAAATATTCTTCATTGAGACTGATCAACATAATGTACACACAAGTCTTGTCATTTTTGCCAAACATTCCAATCTTTACTGATAACGTTAGCACAGTTCAGGTGCAGAGGACAAGGATGCACAAATCTTTACTGATAATGTTAGCACAGTTCAGGTGCAGAGGACAAGGATGCACAAGGGCACTTAACAAAAATGAAGCAAAATTGTAATTTTTTATCATCTTTCTTCAACAGACTGCTTTGCTTCCTGCTCTCGAGTTCGCTTTATATTTCTTATCTCCAACTTTTGAAGTTCATCTGAAAAGATGGCTGTTAAAGCTGGGATCACTTTGGGAAGGCTCTTCATGGTTCGAGGACACACCTGGCAGGAAATAAGTAGAGTACATTCTTACTATCCAGCAGTATAATAACAGAACATGAATACCTGACAAAAAATGGTAAAATACTTGAAACATAAAAAAAATAGGCCAACATGAAAGCAAATTAAAAAAGCAGAAAAACTGGTTTTAAAAATTAGAAGAACAAGAATTCTTCTGTGAGTGGTTCCTGCGTGTACTGTACCAACAATTCACAAAATGAAAAACGATAAAAATGCATTTCTGTAGAATTAGGGAGAATGTTGTGTCCATGAGAGAATACATTTTATCTTCAGAATTTAAAAAAATCAGACCCAGAGGGGGGCTGTTGTTGCAGCTTTTCGGCTCTGGCCCTTCACCTCAAACAAGCATACTGTGTTCAAACCAATATCACATTGCAGACAATCAGTAGGCCTACTTTCCTAAAAATTAATCCAAATGTTGAAAGCCCTGAAAATGTATACAACACTCTTTTTCTCCTACAGGTTCCGATGGTATATTTTTTTTCACAATTAAATGCACTCATCTTGCAGGTAAGACAGACCACACCTTAACGTTCCAGCAAGAAGATGGAGATGCTTGATTAAAAATAGTCCCCACATGGGAATAGAACTCTAGTCTTCTACATGCGACAGCGCAGTGCTGAACTGCGACATGACGGATGCTGCAAATTCAGACAGACATAGCCTATGATCTAAGAGCAGTCAACATATCTAAAAATAAAACTAAGAGGCATCCAAACATATTCTTAGACTTATTCACTGCTGAGCAAATCTTAACTCAAGCACATTTTGTTGATTCTTCACCTGCATATTGTCAAAGGCAATCCCCACATTGTGAGGCATATCCATGTTGAAGAAGGGGACCATGTGAGCATAGCGCTGGCTGAAATGGGTCAGAATAATATTCTCAGCCTTCATCTTCGCACCAACAGACATTGCCTCAGAGAAAGTGCTGAAAACAGAGAGAAACATAACAAAAATGTCTTCGAAAATAGTTCACCGTGAATGAAAATCCATGCTTTCTAAAGACTTTAAAGTGGGCTGATGAAATAATATAGAGATGAATGAAAAAAAGACCTAAAAACATTAACTAACACTCCAGCATGGATAACAGAAAGGGAAGGCCTTTTATGTGTCTAAAAATATTTGTTGAACATGCACTCTCACTAATCAAAGTCAAGACTGTGTTCAGTGCTTCCACCAGCTGAAGCTGAAAAGTAAGGAAAATGCTGCCGGGGTCTGGGGCCCCCAGCAGGGTTCAGGGGGCTAAGCCCCCGAAGAAATAGAAATTTAGTGCTTCTGGAGGGCTGAAAATGGCATTTGGGAGCCTGTTTGAAGAGATTGCCTGCAAACCATAACATTTATTTTTTCACCAACATTTTGTGTTGTTTGATTTCTTCACCTACATATCCTCCCATTGCTGGCAATGTTTAAAAGCAGGTTCCCCTTCCATTGCTACTATAATTCAATTAATTTGTCATCGCACCATTGATAGAAGGCAAACCAGCGAATAATGAATAGATATAGGCACATGTACCTTCACAATACAGTTACCCGGTGTATACCCTAATTTTCCTTAAATTTCACGTCCGAATGTCGCATGTCACAACCTCGGAACACCACTTCGAATTAATCTTGATGTTAGTAGTTTTATGCTGGTTTAAGCATAAATTTCTTTCATCGCGGCCCTTATCACGTACCCATGCTGTAGAATCTTTGTATTGGTCATTTCTCTAGATCTAGACAAATTTGTAAAAAAGTTTCTTTCTGACAGTAATTTTCTGTCTAAGATCACAAGTCAATTTACTTGATCAACACGCAGATTTTCCAGCCACGGCAACAATCCGAAGATAGACAGAATGAGTGAAATTCATTCATAATAGAAAGGAAGAAATTGGCACAAAAAGTTCGCCAGATTTTGATTAATCCACAGGTAAAAATGTACTGCTGACCAACCCGCAATGAATGCATAATGTGGCATAGTGGAATAATGGCCGATTGCAGGAAATGCTCTATCTGGTAGGTTTCTATAACTTTTAACTTGTTGCCGAGAGAATTACCGTAAATATCCGTAACTTATACTAGTACTAGACAATACGAAGGCGAGTATGGATCTTTTGCTACGGAATTTCGGTAGTCCTATGCTGTCGCAGCTTTTTACGGAGGGAGTTGATAATGATGGAGGAGCAAGTACGGAAGTGGCAGAAAGTACGGATTTCCGTAAAAATACGGAAGAGTGGAAGCATTGTGTGTTACATTTCCAAGCAAGAGTGATTGTGAATGTTCATCTTAATCAATATAACAACAAGACTTATTTTCAAAATAAAAACCTCACAATATTTTTTGTAATGGCTGCTCAGCGGCAGATAACAGAGACATAGCCTACTTTAAAGAAACTGTTTGTTAATCTGTATGTGTCTCATTGGTACCTGGAAAAAGTCTTCTTGACGGACAACCAGAAATACAGTCCAAATTGTCAGAGACAGTGACCCATTGACGAAGAGAAAAGTGATCATCTAAGACAGATAGACATCTTAGACTGTGTCATTATAATATCAAAAGAAAAAAAGGAAACGGTCGTTTGTACAGATGATTATCTTATACAGGTAGTCGTTAGAGCAAGTTCAACTGTATTCTAAACAAAGTAGATTAACTGCCAACATGCATGCCCCTCTCAAAGAACCCTCCACAAGTGAGAAAAGACCTGTCTAGGGATGTTACAAATGAATCTGAACCAGTGCCATATATACACAACACATACCTATGTTTGCTTACGGCAGCATTCTCCATGAGAGCGTCCTCGTGTGTGGCTTCATGAATCAACAGATTACAATTTTCTCCTAGTGAAACAGAGAAAAGTATCATTAGTGTTGTGCAAACGATAGAAGTCTAATAAAAAAATACAACAAGATGACAATTTGATGATTTCCAACTTAACAAGGCTTGGAGGATGATATATAATTCAAAAACAAATGCAACTAAAATCTTCAACTATAGGTTAATTTCAGCATCAGGCTATACATTAGCATTCAGCCATCAGTGTTTAGAAAATTTCATGTAAGTTTGACAAAGAATCATTGAGAAAATTAATGTTCAACGATCAGTGTAGGAGTGGGGATAGAGTACAAGTAACAGTTATCATTATCATCATTGCCTTTCTCACCCTACATCATACACACCAAGTAAAAACATTTTCTGCCTTTTCCTCTCCTAGGCTAGCCTCTTGATCTTATTCCATGTCTTCCCACTTTTCTGCACCTCATTCTCTGTGGCTGTTCATCAAGTTCCAAGTAACAGTTATGCATTTATTACTTTATGTGAAAGTACTGGTATTGAATGAGACAAGAAGAAATACAGCCATACAGCGCCCATTCCAAGCAACCAGACACAACACTGATCAACTTGAAGTCTGACTACTTGCATTTTGCCATCACATATGGACAGTGAATTGTTTCCCCACCCAGGTTCACCTCCCCTACCCCTAATGCACAAACACACAACAGCATATGTATCGCGACGCGATGGAATCAGGCACTCATCAATTTTTGGGCATATAAAAGACTCCCCAAAAGAGACGTAACATAAATATTACGTTATAACAGCATCACCACATGTTGGCAAGGATGTACTACAAAAGTATAAATTGCTGCCCACTTACCAGCAGTAACAAGATTATCACAAGGTCTAGTGTCTCCTGAGTAGGCCAACTTAAATCCATTGCTGTGGGTGAAGGTCACACCATATGAATTGAAACAGTGCTCCACCTCCACTGGCTCATACTGTGGAAACAACGTTTGAGTCTTGGTCAAACAGACGCATATGCAGTGGTGCCCACCTAACAGCAATGCTCTTTGGGAAGCAGGCTTTGGTTACTGTTAGGCTGATGTTGCTGCAAACTGTGCCAACTAAATTATGGGGGGGAGGCTCTAAGCTTCATCAATAATGATAACTCTACCACCCCCCACCCCCTCCAAACACACGGACAAATGGATCCTGATTCTTAGGATGCGGTGATTTTGTTATGTCAGAAAGAGAGGGCATAGACAGAGTTTGAGCATCGACAGTAATGTTTTGCACAGTAGCTAAAACTTTACTTCTGCTCAGACTTTGGAAGAATTATGGATCTTGACAAGAGGGTGAGAACTAAGCACACTAAGCGTGTGCGTTTTTGGATCAGGCAGTTGTTTTGTGTTCTGAGGAGAAAAATAAGAGAGGAGGGATGCACATATATTGAAATTATATGCCAGTGTCACTGTTCACAGTTTTTGAATCTTTAGAATTTCAAAAAAATATTTCATTGGACAATTAATAGCAATGAAGGTTGGTTGCTGTTCATGGGGGTTATTTATAAAAGAAAAATTCTGTTTCATAAGCTTAGGTTGCTGTTAGATGGAGATAGCTCTTATCTGGGTTGCTATTAAGTGGACACCTCTGTATTGACATACTATAATATAGTAACAAGTTGTTAGGGCGAGGAAAAAGAAAGAGGGAAACCACTACCAACTGACTGAAAACAGCAAATTGAAGGGTGAAAGACAAATTTAAAGAGTTTGAAAAAAAAATTGACGATGGCGAGCCCGACAAAACGCTTGTATAACTTTCTTTTCTTTTCTTCCACAAGTAACAGCACAGGACAAATATTGATTTATTTTCATGGCGACACAGCGTTTATAAAGCACAACCTACATGTTACAAATGTTGCATTATCAGACTATTACCGGCAAATTTCCAGGTGGTAACTAAAGCAAAAATAGATCTTGATTTTCCGGATTGAATTCCGGATTGAACCTCGGTATCACACATACACTTCCGCCTAGCGCTATAGCCACCTGTTTGCGTGAAACGTACTCTCAGACAGGGGAAAGCCGAATGTACATCACAATCGCGACTGGCAAATAAAAACTTATGGATGTTATAGGATTTAATTTTATGTATTTTCACGGGTCTTTCTTGGGGTAATTTGCAGATTTTCTCAAATTCGCGGGGCATTCTCAGGGCGTGGCGATTTTTTTCAAATTCTCGGGTAATTCCTTGGGGCCCTCGGGATCCCCGGGGTCTGCCATCACCCTGAGTGACACAAATTTCATCTTCAAAGGGGCATTCTTGTCAAGGGTTTTATGAGGGGTTCTAATGATTTTTCACTCACTCTGTTAATTTTGTCAAAGGTAGAGATATGGCCTCTTAAAGAACCTTATCTTAAAGATATCTAAAAATAACATTTCTGGAAAATGAAAGTAACAAATCAAGTAAAAAACATCTTAGGTTTCTAGAAATTTCCCCAGGAGGACTCAGGCGGATATTGGAGCGGGAAGTGGAGCATGTATGGCAATGCCCTGAGTGCTAGGATGTAGTTCCTTGGATCAAGTAATCAAGTAATCAAATTTCCCCCAAAAGTAGTGGCTCAATCTCACATGTGTCAGACTCAGCTCCCGTAACACGTCGTCCGCTGTGGCTGTCCGGACCTCCATCTCATCGGTGGCCGCCAATCCTTGCTGGTGGTGCATGAATCTGCGACACATGAGACAAGACAGGAACCTTTGTTTATTCTTTAGTTTTAGTAAGAGTTTTATGGCACTTGCAACACAATAAGGTCATATAAGTGCCGAAGATTAGAGGTGTTACAAGAGAGTAACAAACACAAAAAAGGAGGAGGAGAGATAAAGATGATAGATGTTTGATAGGAAAGAAGAAGCAAACCACACCGGAGCACCCGCCAACCACCCACTTTGTTGTGTTTGAGTAAAGAAACCCATTTGACACAATAAAAGTTATATAGTACAGGGAAAAAGACAATCAGATGGACAGAAACAAGAGAGCAAAAAAAGGAAAAGAAGTATGGGCTCCCAGTGGCGCCCTCCAATCATTGACAAGGCTGGTATCTCAGCAACGTTCAAGGCAACTCAATTTCAGTGGGAAAGACAGGTAGATCTAAGTATATTCTTAAAAGCAAAAAATAAAAAAAGAAAGAGAAAAAGACAGATTAGTATTTAATAAATGCAACTGGCCAGGGAGCCAAAGAGAGTTTTAACCAACCCCCCAAAAAAGGGGCAGAGGATAAAATTCACAAACAGTCCATTTCCCACCCCTCTATCTTCCAATGTTAGGTATATGTGAGAGTATGAGTGTGTACATGAGAGATAGGGGTAGAGAAAGCGAAGGGATAGAAGAGCAATTACAGATACCATAAATCTTAAAGCTAACCTAAACAAATGATTTACTGGTTCCAGTTCCTGGTCATAGAATCGCAGCCATCGTCTCATCTGGATAGGTGCCATCACAATAGCTGAGCTGTGAGGTAGTTTTTTTTCATCAAACGCTCTTTTTCTCTCCTTCAAAAGCGAGAAAAGTCCCTGTGAAACAAAAATCAGATTGTTTTTTTTTCAATTACTGATTGACAGAAAAATATTTAGCACACATTTGGTACTGTAGGGAAGAGTAAGATGTCAGACGCTGCTGAAATCTCTTATCTTGAAATGAAAAACAAGAAACTTAAGGCTCTTACAACACATTCGTAGAAAAAATAATGGATACTAATAGATATTTCTTTAAAACAAATCACAGACTCCACTCAATTCATCTTTATATTTGACCAACTTTTGACATTCCTAAGACGATAAATAATTTAGAACATTTTACTAAAATAAAAGAGGCATAAAATCAGGATGTCTTTTACTGATTTTTCTCAAAAACATGATGAACAACTTTGACCATCATCTAAAAGGTAATCCTCACCAGGTGGTGGTCTGCGTGCATATGAGACACAAAGATGGCCTTCACTTTCCTCAGCACACGGCTGGCCTTCTTGGGACCAAAGAAACGATACAGCTGACCATAGGAGTCCTCTCCGCAGTCCAAAATGACGTTTGTGTGTTTGCTGCAAAAAGTTTGGTTGAACACAATTGAAAATATGTTCATCACCTTGGTCCAACAAGAATATATCAAGAATGAGATTTCCATCTTTCTGGAACGTGGCATGTGGACTCTTCTTCAGAAAATCTGATAAGCGATGTGAACTTGAGAGCTCTTTTAATGAATGCAATTACCGAATACCAACAGAACGCCATTTTCAGTGGAAACAATGTAGACGATGGAATCTTCTCAATATCTTTGTGATTAAATTTCTTTACTTACATGTAAAATCATCAGCCTTTACCTTGCTGAATGCCCTTCTTTTGAAACTTGTTAAATATTGGACAAGGAAGTTAAACAAGGTCGTCTACCCATTCTTGATAGCACACAAGAAGGGCATCCACAGGCAAGGGTGCAGCCTTCAATTGGAAAAGTTATGCTGTTTTATTCTTTGGGACAATGAGGGTGTCATCATGACAGACCACTTAGAATATGGTCACATCACTGAGCGTTGTTGATGAAACTATGATCTATCTTGGCCAAGAAAAGGCTAGGGAAGCTGCGAAAAGGAACCCTCCTGCTGCGTAACAATGCTCCAGCACACAGGGCAGTGAAGGCAAATCAGACAGCAGAGCAGTGACGTAACGAAATTCCCCCTTACCCACCTTATAACACCCTCTTGACTTTTTCCTTTTCCAAAACGAGAAAAAAAAGTTCTCAAAGGACATTTGCATAGTAACGAAGATCCTATATCTGTTGTGCAGGAATGACTTGAGCCTCATTCGAGGTCATATTATGCTCGAGGACTTTTGAAGATCAAGCATTGATGGAAAAGATGAGTCAATTTGCAAGGTGATTATGTAGAGAAGCAGCATTGTGAGTATCAAATTTGAACTTTCTAGCTTGTTTCTTTCATAGTTTGGATTAAGATTTCTTGAACACCTGTCATATCAGAAAAAAAATGGGAGGAGATCAAATTTTTTGTGTAAAGCATGCTGGCCTGTGGGATCATACGAAACGGTTCAGTGACTCGACACAAAAAGACGTTTAGACAAAATTTGCCCCCCCCCCCCCCCCCGGACCTATTTCATTTCTAATTATAAAGAAAAGTATTTTCAAACATTGGAAATAATAATAATTTATCTTTTTAGTATGAGTTTTACAACATCTTGCAACACAATTGGGTCATACAAGCACGGAAGACTAGAGGTGTCACAAGAGAGCAACAAACACAAAAAAGAAGGAGAGATATGGACGGCAGATGTTTGATAGTATTAAGTAGCAAACCACACCAGAGCACCTGCCAACAACCCACTGAAATAATAAGAGTGGGCACCTTGCCTTTAAAAAAATATTACCTTAGTTGTACCAGAATGCAGCTCTGAGCTCGAATCCGGTTTGGTTCTGATGATCCAGTGCCCAGAAACACAACTTTAGGGTAGCTGGACACAGAGCCTGGGAATGAACAGTCATATGTGAGTTTTTAAAAATGCCAGGCACCTGAAACATTACGTAAGCATTTTCTGGAAAGAGGGGGGAGGGTGGGTTTGGACAGGTGTGTGAAGTACAGTGCTTTTTAAAATGCAGATCATGTCATTTCTGAGGAAAAGCATTTAGCCTCCCAACAGGACACAGGCCATATTTCTGAAAGGATTAGAAAAACTCCATTTGAAATCAAACCTGAGATGAGGCAAAAGGTAAACAGTAAAACAAAAAGATAACTGAAAGACTCTTCCCAACCCCCAGCTACATTCTAAGAGAATCTTTTCAACATACAGTGAAAGAAAGCAATATAGAAGATCTTATATATGTGCAGTGAGGACACAAAGCTAGACTGAGAAATGATAGAAGAAATGCTTTAAATGCTGAGAACTCATTTACTTATTGAAAAGAAAAAGCATGGCGACAAAGAATAGTGGTTCAGGGACAGGGATATTGATGAGTACCAGTCCTGGCATATAAGAATAAAAATAAAAAAATCAACCATTTTTCAAAGTCTCCATGGAAAATTTTGGACTTACAATGGCTCGTCCAAATGCACATTAACTCTCACGAGCTTTAGTTTGTGATACACACTCCAAATGAGTTTTCGTTTTAGGAAGCATTTTAAGACACCGGCTCCACAATTAGGTCATAAAAGTTCTGATGATAAAAGGTGTTTCAGGAGAGTAACGAACATAAAAAAGGAGGAGAGAAAGGGACAATGGATGTTTAATAGGAAAGAAGGAGCAAACCACACCAGAGCATCCAAATTAGTTCACAAACTCACCATTGCAGTCACAGTTTCTGTAAAGCTGTATGATACATATCTCAGTTTAATGAAATATGGAGTACACATCGACAACTTCAATACATGATAAATAAGTGTTACCCAAATTAACCCACTGGAAGGAAAAAGTGATTTTCTTTTTCCACTCTATCCTCTTAACATCTCTGTGCATTGCATTTATACACTAGCAATGATCTAAACACCAGCTTCAAAGCTTGACCTAGTGCTGCCCGTTATAACGTGGACTTTGCGCCACAGGAGAAACTTTGAGGTACAGATTTTCCTATCGAGGTGTGAAGAATGCTAGTGACTGAGCAGTAAAAGGAATGTACCCCCTTCAGTGTTTTTCATAATACATCAAAAGACCTAAATGCTTACTGTTGGAGTGCGAAAGACAAAAAAGCTATACAGAAACTTTACTTACTTTGACCATTCTCATCTTCTGACTGGCTCTCATGGGAAGAAGAATTGCCCAATTTGTCAAGCTCCAATGTCACCTCAGGAATTTCTAGGAATGGTTTCTGTATGGCCTGGCAGTTGAACTCATCTGCCTCTCTGAGAGAAGACCACACACAGAGAGACTTCAAATTACCAAGTTGCTTATTTTGTCCTTTCAAAAGTATTCCCACAATCTACAACTACACATTTCATCACCTTCTTATAGATGTGGGGAACAAAACAAAACCCACTGCTCATCACCCTTTTCTAAAGTAAACTTACAACACAAACATCAACACTTTGACAATTGCAAAACGTATTTATGCCCACAGTCCTTATTTTTTCCTTCCCTTTTACTTCTCTACAGTACAAAGACAAATGCCCATCCTGCCAACGGTACCAGGTTAGTACAGAAAAGCATTAACACTTTCCCTACCGCGAGCCGCAAAATACGGCTCGAGTGGCTCGCTATCTATTTCAATCCAATAATGAAATTCTCGGACGATCCAAGTTTTCAGAATAATAGAATAGACTTCCTGTTAGCAGATACGACAGAAAATATAGCACCGGGAGACGATTTTCAGTTATTTCATAGCTTTTTTTTTTGTCCCCTTCGAAACGTAAAAATGAGAAGAAAAGCGCTCCCCTGACTTCAGTATATCTCTCATATTTTCACTTCTATATTAGATACCCATACATAACTTTCAGCATTTCTTTGCATTACTTGAGGCAACCTACTTGGCAAGTTTGAATGATGCTGTTGTACTTTTTTAGATATGCCCTTTCAAAGCTGGAAAATTGTTGATTTCATATGACACCTTCGATATTGCATAATCACTTTTAGAAACCCCAAACTTATATAATTGGAATAAATATTCAATATTGTATCACCATCTGATAGATTATTTTTTAACCTTTAGTTTGACGGGCCATAAGATATGGTTTGTATGTGTTTAGTTGGATGTTTTGACATTTTCCTGTGGTGGGGTAGGGGCGTAAAAATAGGTCAGGGAAAAGCCCTGGGCCAGTGGTGGATTTTGGCCTGGTAGGAAAAGAGTTAAATGAAAAACAAATCAAAGGGAAGGGACACAAACTCAGGGCTTTTGAATAATTCAGCAGTTAGCATTCTCCCACAGAGTACCATCCCTTTACTAACAGTAACAGGCATTAGACACCCAGATGTACATTGAATGTAACAGTATTTTGATTCTGATCCTTGGTATGAATGGATAGTGGTGAAATGAAAGTTTACGACAAAACCAGGTGTTCATTGTTGTCCTATCTAATTATCAGACTTTGAGATCTCAGACGAATGAGAACTTTATGTTCCAAAAATTAACGTTGACATACCGTTCCTGTATGTTATACGGCTACTCTTGGCTATAAACTGAGAATTTTCTCAGAGAATTTTAAACAAACAGACCCCTTTCTGTGGTATGTATTTAAACTTACATCATAATAGAAAATGATTTTGAGGATTACAAATATGACCCTCTTAAGCTGGGAAGAAGATAAACAACTAACTCACAATAAACTACAACACATCTATTATCAGCTTCTCCAGCTTGTGACACTACTCACATATAATACCCTCTCCTTTTCCCTCGGTAAACGTACACCAGCCCCGAGCATGCCTTGATAATCCTGCCTTGTCCCAAACTACCAAGTTCAGATTCTGAAGACGAAGCTGATGTTGCAGTAGAAGCCCCATTCTCTACACCCGACTCTGTCAATGCCTGAACCCCATCAATGTCATCCATTTTGGTCAGTTCTGGCATGAGCGGGAAAATGTCGGAGCCAACCAGACTCAGTCTCGCCTGGTGCTCTCGGACACGAAGTAGGTCAACTTCTGCCGCATCTCTGTTCATCACCAGATGGTCAATACTGCTGGGAAACCTGAGAAGAGCATGAAATACATAAAGTTACTTTTAAAGTTATTTTCTCTGTATTAACTGAAAGTCTAGGGGTCAAACCTGTTCTTGCTCTCATACTTAGGGGAAAAAAGACAAATGAGGCCACAGTACATTCGAACCTGTCCACAATGGTCAATCAAGATCACAGAGAAAAGTAACCGTTATAGACCTGTGGCTGCTATAGACAGGGTTTGAGTTGTAAATAGGAGGTAAGCATGGCTAGTGGCTGGGAAATGTGACATGACACCTTTATAATTAACAGATTATCATGCTTGCTCTAACATGATGAATTTCCATTACCTCTACAATTTATTCTGAATATTTCTCTTCAAATGTTAGGCCTAAAAACAAGCAAGCTGTCACTCAAATATCCTTCCCAAAAGCCATATGAGCTATGTCAGTAGAAACATAAACTGCTACCCAGATGAATCAAATTTAAACTGAATTAAGACCAACATTTCCTGAAAAGAGAATAGAGATAAACCATAATTTATATGAAGAATCACCTTTTCATCCACTTCTGGTACTCATCTGAGTTGTAGACCTCTGATGGAGTCATGTGCACTATCACAGCGAAAGAACTTTGTGGGTCTGAGGAGGTCATGAACTCTTGCAGCTGGGGGCTGGTCATCAGGGAAGTGAGGAAAGACTCATGTGGGCACTCAACCACTGTCAGATGAAACAGATCCAAAGTTGAAGAGGAAAAAAAGACCAACAAACGGTCAAATACAATTAGTAAGTTAATAGGATTTGAATGTTTCTGTTCTATTCCATGAGATGAGCAACCACATCATAATGATCAAGTAATGACCGGTTGAACAAAAAGATTAAAAGACAGAAACACAGCTGGGATTCAACAAAATAAGGTCCTGTAAGCAGAATTCTTCAGAGAACATTAGATCAGCTTTGTGGCCTTACAATTTTTTTAGCATTTCGCCAGCTCTCGAAGATCAAGCTAGAAGGTAGGTAATAGTGATTTTTAATATCAAGATACAGAGAAATACAGTTTTAATCAAAACAGTATATGTTCACTAATACATGTTGTCATTTTATACATGTTTTTATTAAGTTTATACAACTATTATGGGTATCACATCTTCCTTCAAAAACAGAAAAGTGTGACACAATACAAATCACTAGTTATAAATATTCTGTTGGGCTGCCATTTACAGCCAGATTATAATGCAGGGCACAGTCAACACTATGCAAACTAAAAGGAAAAAATCACTGAGAAAGAAAAAAGATAATCATATACAGTGGTAAACTACAGACACCATGACATATCTAAAAACCAATGCTCGATGTGAACATTTCAGTGAAGTATATCAAGAGAAAAAGTGACTCACCAAGGAAAGGTCTCCTGTCCACTGCAATATCATCAATGACCTGACTGGGATAAACGATTCTCCCATCCTCAAGAGTGACAGAAAATCCTCGCTGCAACTGACCAACCATGGGGCCTCTGTGTGAGAAGCAAAATGAAAATAAGGTAAAGAATCATTAAAAATCTACAGCTTCCTGCTATAAGAACATTCTAGCGACCAAAGAGTAATATTTACACAACAATGTGAGTAGAAGTAACATCTATAAAGAGGTCTAAGAACAACTTTGTTTGAATAACAAACTGACCAACAAACTTCAAAACATAAAAAAGTGCTATCGAGATTTTCAAATGTTTACAAAAACTTATTGAAAATGTGAACACATTAGCACATCATCCAGGAACCCCATGCAAAGAGCAACAAAGAAATTGAGAATACCCTTGACTTTTGGAACACCATACTAGATTTTCTTTTTATCAAAAATTTTGTAAATAGTTATCATGCTGACAACTCTGTTCATTTTACAAAAGAACAAATTCAGTAACAAGAAACCTTAGAAGAAAAAACAATTCTCTCACTCACATGGTGACGCCAGCATCGTAACATTTTTCAATGTTGATTTTCGCTAACGGTGGTTTTGCCTGAAAGTGTACGATGGAAAGGCATAAATAATTATCCAGGATTATAAAGGAATCTTTTCAGTATCCCCTGTAGTCTCCAATCCCTTACACTGATGAAACAAAAGTCTAGAAAGGAAAATAAAGTAAAAATAATGATAGTATAGCAAAAATTTAGTCACCCTTCAAAGGAAGGAATAACATCACAAGGTGAGAGAAATCCTAAAGACAAATACAGTACACCAACAGCATTCTGGTCTAGAGAGAAACAAAGAAACAATTAAAACAGTATTACTTCAAACATATACAATTGAACCCACTATATAAATGTACCCTAAAAACAGTTCTCACTTTATCTGCACTTTGTTGGTCCATGTGGGCTTTTTGGTTAAACCTTGGAAGTAACAACACTCGTATAATAAACATGACCATGTCAAACCTCAAGGCAAACTTTAAAAGATGCCGATGCTGTAGATTTTAAAGAAAGGTTGCTATGTCAAAGTTTATAGCAAATCATCATGATCACTTTCAAAAGTGATGACAATAATGAACTGTCTCTTTCAAATAGGTTTCATAGTGAAGAATACAATTAGACTACCTTTATGTTAACAAGATCATAGCGGTTTCTAAAACAAGAACAGTGCAAATATTTACCTTGCAAATGTATGCAAATGCAGTATCTTGACTAATAACTTCAGATGTTGAGGAGGAGTTTCTTCTCACCCTTTTGGCAACTGCAAAACAAAGCACAATAAAAAAAATCTCAAATACATTGGATCATTACTTTTAAAATACCTGGAACAAATTGTACAGAATCACAGAGTCTACACCTTCCTTTCTTTTATTTTTAGCAAAACTACCAAATGATACTTTAAACATAACAGGTAGTCTTCTATAATTCATTGTCAAGGAAAAAAGACCAACAATTTCCTACCAGGTTCAGGAGTTTCTTCAGAATCTTTCGATGAGTCACTGTAGAAAATTACTGGAGTGATGGTCAAGCCAGCGTCCTGAAACTCTCCCTCACATCTCACTGTAAGAGAGAAAGCAACAATTCATTAAGGCAGCAGCAGACGGTTGAAGGATACATGTTTTTTTAAAGTTTTAGTAGGAGTTTTCCCGCACTTGCAACAAAAATAGGTCACACAAGTGTTGAAGCTTAGAAGTGTCACAAAAGAGTCACATACACAAAAAAGGAGGAGCGATAAGGACGATAGACATTTGATACGAAAGAAGGAGCAAACCACACCAGATCACCTGCTAACCACCCAAGGATACACATGTTTGAGTGCTTGGGCGCTTGTGTGGGTTTGTATATGTGTGAGTATGAGTGTGGGTTTGTGTGCATGAGTGTGTGTGTGTGTGTTTGTGTAGGTTTGCAAGTGTGAGAGTATGTGTGACTTTGTATGTGCGAATGTGTGTGTAGTGTGTGTGTGAGTGGGTGGGTTTGTATACGAGTTAAGTGTGTGGGCTTGTATGTGTGAGTGTTTGTTTTGTTTGGTTTTAGTAGAGGTTTTACGGTGCTCGCAACTGCATAAGGCAAGGTCATATGAGCGCCAGAAGATTAGAGGTGTTACAAGAGAGTTAAAAAAAAAAGAAAAGGAGGGAGATAAGGACGACAGATGTTTGATAGGAAAGAAGAAACAAACCACACCAGAGCACCCGCCAACCACCCACTGTGTGAGTGTTTTAGTTTTAGTAGAGGTTTTACTGCGCTCGTGACTGCATAAGGTCATATGAGCGCTTGAAGATTAGAGGTGTTACAAGAGAGTAACAAACATAAAAAAGAAGGAGGGGAGATAAGGACGATAGATGTTTGATAGGAACTGTGTGTGTCAATGTACTTGTTTGTATTCAGAGTTAATGCATACAAGTGAATTTTCAAAGAAATACCATAAGAAAGGAAGAAAGAGAATATCTACATGTGGGGGGTGGGGATGTGAGGGGAGCTCAAAGATTTTTAAGTGACTGAAAAGAGCATTGACTCAACAATAGTCAAAACATACAGGGGAAAAGGCAAAATGAAGGTTGGACACGGATGAAATTTTAAAAAACGTTCTTCATGCATTTTGAAAACACATGACCAGCTTTAGGAATTAACAAACAGTCATGAATTTCTACCTTCCATGCAACCTGTTGTGCATCTTGTAATATATTCAACTAAAAAAAACAACAACAACAACTGAACAAAAAAAGAAACACAGACTTACTGATTCTCATGTTGGAATGAACTGAGAACTTTTTGGCCATTAAAGTGATCTTTTCCTGAAAAAAAAGTGGAAGTGTTATATATTAACTCTTTATTTCCGAGGGGGGTTAACCCACTATGTCGGGGTCCTTTTTTTGGTACTAAATCTAAAAACGTCACTAACTTGGTCATTAAGTCAAAACAAGAGAACCTATTTTGACAGTTCTTCATCTCATGAATGAAATCCCAATAAAAGACACCTGTCTTCGGCAATCGCCAAAAAGTTATTTGACGTCGAAGTCGTCGTAAAGGAATTCACCCAAGCCACTGTCAGAGGTTTACCAGCACAGTGGTTCTGACCGTTAGCTAGTGGGACTGGCTTGCAACAGATAAAGAATTAAAGTCATAAAATATTTTTAAGAATAATGTGCTTTTCTTAAGTAGACTTAACAGATATCCAATAAAAAAACTTGAATAGTTTCATGGAGAAGGAAATTGAACCAGGAATGTAAAATTGTGTGTATCTACAGAAGCTAGGGGCCAAAGTCTTTCTATACATATTCTTCGCATGAAGGCCTACTCTAAGTAAACTATAAAACTGTGTAACATCATTACAATGCAGTATATATAGGATCTTTTCAATTATTGATAATGCACTCCAATTTACACAAATATTTTTTTTGTAAGAGTTTAATGGCACTTGGGGCACAATTAAATCTCATATAAGTGCAGAAGATTAGAGGTGTTCCTGGTAACATACAAATAAAAGAAGGAGGAGAGATAAGGACTATATATGTGTTTGATAAGAAAGAAAGAGCAAACCACATTAGAGCACCCATCAACCTCCTACACACAAATATCTGTCCGTAACATTTTATTTTGACAGTAATGGCTTTGATCTGCCATTGGGCTTTCTGCCTTTTTCAGAGTGAAAAACCCGTTACTGACATTAAGTCATGATACATGTCCCTGTCACGAACAATCCGAAAAACAAAAACACAAACCACCCCTCCCCCCACCCCCAAAGACATGATGTCATGGCAGCCTCTTTAATCATATTTTCGAAAGTGAAGCTCACTTCTTTAGTATAATCCAGCTGCCCCTTCTGAGAGTGAACACCATGTTTACAGGTACTTTCCTATTGAATATAACACTGGATGAAACACACAGCTAGATGGAAGGCTCAAAGAACACAGAGAGAAAACACTGTCTCCTGAAACAAACTAGATCAACCCTGTCCTCACAGAGTAGTCCTGAACAACATTTATAAAAAAATCACCAACAAAAAAGGACAAAGAACTCAGTCCAGGTCAAATCAACTGGAATCTCACAAATTCACTAATTAGTTAAACTCATGGCCACTGGCGCTGGCATGTAATTGCACGAAAAAAGTAAACCAACTGCAATACAGGTTTTAGTTGCAATGCGTCTGCGTTATGGAAAACTTAATAAACATTATGGCTGACAGATGAGTTTGTAGATCATCTTGAATAAGTGGCTAATTGCAAGGTGGTCAGTGTATACGAAAGATGCAAATGCGTACATTTCAGTCAAAATTAATAAGTAGGCTATATTTACTGTTATTCAAGAACAAAAATTACAGCATTCCATAATTGCAGAGTTCAAGAGAATTCATTTTGAAATAAGCAGAAACTTTGAGATTAACTTCCAAAGCTAACATAAAGAGTGATGTTACTGTCTTCAAAGTTAAATGGATAGTGTAAAATACCAATGACATTCACTTGCTTCCTACATAGGCATACAAAAAGTTTCACTGACCACTCCTTCAGGTCCATAAAGTCGCATGACGGATGATCCGCGGTCTTGGGGTATTTGGGTTGTGTCTCTGTTTGTATACACTTTTGTCTCTGGGTTTTTCTGCCCTTCAAGAGTCATTGCAAGACCTGGAATAATTTCAAAAGCAACATAAAGAAAAAAAAGTCCACTTTATTAGTTAGTAACAGGAAGTACGGCTCTTATAATGAAGACGATCATCTGTCTTTATTTTTTTTTAAACTGACAAACATCCTCCTAAACTTGGAATAACCTTTATTTACAGCAAATATTTTTTTAAACATCTGTAGGCCATCACAAGCAAAATGTGCCATGCTTGTGAAAACATTTCAGTCTCTACACAAATTGAAATTGATCTAAGGCAAAGAGACAGTATCCACTGACAGGAGAAACATTTTTCACAAATGGATGAAAATGTAACAAATGTGATAATCTAATCATCACAAATTATGATGAATTCAAAGGCAATAAGATGCATTGAAAGTTTTATATGTTCAGAAAACTCGTGACCAATGAATGCTATGCATAATTCCATCCTTAGCTTTTCACAGTGTACTTTTATTAGATCTTTCTCTACAGGACTGTCAGTTCCTCAACTCAGATTAATTTCCTTAGTCTACAAAAAACAATTTCGGGAACCTTTACTGCTCATTTTAAGAAACGCAAATTACATTTGATAAACGGTGCATACATAATCTAAGTCAAGACTTTTCACACCCATACTGGGAAACACTCCAGTGGCAATTTGTGCAAAAACAAGAGCTACACTTTTGTTTTGAATTGGGAACAAATGCAATTGAATTAATATAACACTTCATATTGTGCACTTTAACCATTTGATGTTATCATTCTGGAGGATAATCATAACAAAGAGAGACAATAGAAAAAAAAAATGATAAAAAAAAGGGACAGATGTAAAGGAAACACAAACTTCAACATGCATGTATGACTACGAATGAATAAAAAAGAGACTTGACTCTTACCTAGTAAACCGCCAGTGTTTTCCCAGCTTTTGTGGGTGATAAAGATATTTTCAAGCCCCGACAATTTTGCAAAAGCTGAAGCTCTCAGGCTGTGAAAGGGAAAGATAAAATTATGGTATCATATTTCACGATATTCAACATCAAGATGTTGGAGAGGCAGGGTTGAAATGAGGACAGACAGACCAGCAATGCCGCTAGCCATAAAGATAGACACTCAGAATTTAAGAGATGCTTTGAGAGATAAAGAAAATTACATGACCAAAGTCTAAATAAACAAACCGAGAGCCAGAATGAAAGACGTAAAGGGAGAGATGAAAGGGCTCGGTGGAGAGAAAAGGAAACAAGTGAACAAGAGTGAGAACGAGAGAAAATGATCAACAGAAACGTCACAGATTGGATGAGACAAAAAGAAGACTGCACCAAAAACCTACCCCTCAAATGTCTCAGTATTTACTGCAAATTGGATGATTATAATAAAACAAAAGCATAACATGCATAAACACAAAATAAGATATCTTTACAGTTTCACCTATGCTTTAAATGATTCATTTTTTGTACATTAAATTGAAGCTATAAGGCCTGTATTGGATCAATTTTAAAAATAGACCAAATTATATAAAATTCGATTAGAAGATCAATATATCCTGACCCTTTGCTCATAGCAGCTAGACGTTGAGTACCCTCTCCACAGTTGAACATGTACCTGAAACGAGAACAAAATAATGTTGGGAGCCACAGACAAGCACAGATAATTTGAACAAGCAAAGCCTCGAATTCACAGACAGGCATAGAAAATGTTTAGAGTTTATTGTAGCAGCGACACTATAGACTTAGCCTGCTTTAGTGTTTGCTGAATTTAAGAAAATATCTGTACCCTTATGTGCTGCAACAATTCACTACAAAATGAACTATGCATGATAGAAACCTCTTTTCCGTGTCATAAGAAAGCAGATAGGTTCCGGAAACAACCTTAACCTATATCACACACACACACACACACACATTGACACATTTATATATGTATAATATATATATTAATGTATTTACCTCAAGAAATAAAGTTCTGAATCATGTAGAATCAATAATTGTCCCCAGTTAGTGATTTTGGTCAATCATACTGGGATGATAATATTGTCCTCAGTGAGTAATAAAGAAGCAAAAACCTTTGAATGCAATGTCCACCTCCAAACGGGCAGAGCAAAGTAAGAGGAGGGCGATGAAATGTCAAAACTACCAAAGTGACCCACATACAAGAATGCACACCTATTATTGGGAGTGTATACAAACTAAGGTCATCCACATTGCAGCCCATCATCATCATGATATCAGCTATATATATATATACTAATAATCATAACACAACTTCTTTTAAAGTTTAAAATGTCAAGCTGTTTTGTTGGTTCTGAGGGGGGGTCATTAGTGCTATAGGGTTCAGTTCAATTGCTACTCAAACGGCAATTGACTTAGTTGTAACAGGCTTTGTTGATTGTAAAACAAATCAAATTGGGATTCTCCCATGTTCTCATTTTGGCAAGGCCTTTTTCTATATATCTGGATTCAAGTCAAAATCCACTTTTTTCTGCTTTTCCAGACACAAGGCAAGGCTTCTATTAGAGGAGGTCTTTCTAGTTCAACTGACCATGTTTCAAAAATCATTTCAAATTCAGACACTGGCAACTTCTTTTCTACTACCAATATTCTTATGAGGTTTGGAGAATTCAGGTATAATTAGAGTACCAACCGGGGAGCTCTCGTGGCCTAGAGGTTAAGGTGTTGGCCTCTCATTCAAAGGTCCCGGGTTCGATTCCGGGTAGCGACCAAAAAATTTTCTTCTCTAAAATTGTCTCCTTTCACCTCCTTTCCTGCTCTCTAACAATGTTCTGTTGTCTGCTTTCATTTCCACTTTCTGCCCCCACCCCCTCACCTCCTTTGCCCCCTCCTCTGGGCTCCTGACTCTTTCTGCAGCCTTTCTACTGCTACTCCTTGGCTCCTCCTTACTGCTGTCTTTCTGCCACACCCCTGATCTTCTGGTAGTAAAGATCTACACCTAGCCTTCTCGGACAAGGGCAAAAAATCTCGGAGGGCCCGTGTTCAAGTTGCGCACGTTAAAGATCCCTTGGTGGTCTAAAATCGATAAGAGTAGGCTTCGGCCGCCACCCGGGCAAAATTCAAAATTTCCTACCAACTGAAAATATTAGGTGTGTCCCGCGCGCTCATATGACCTTATGCAGTTGCAAGCGCCGTAAAACACTTTACAAAAAAAAAAAAAAAAAAAGAGTACCAACACACTTTCCAAATGTTATAAACAACAAAAAAAACTATTGCTCCTCCCCTGCATGCCCCCCCCCCCCCCCCCTGAATTAAAAAAAAATTAAATTCTGGTGGGTTTCAAGGGACCATGACAGGCCCCCCCCCCCCCCCCAATTTCCCCATAATTTAACCAAAACATAGGGCCTAGTGTCTTGTTTCCCGATGTGGTAGTCGAATAGGCTATACAGTCAAAGCTGTATTTTTATAACACAGGTGGCCGTCTCAGGCAGTATTGGTCAACATGAAGAAATCAAATCAGACCACCCTCTTCTGAGGTCCAAATCGGGCTGATCTCAGACTTCAGACTGCCGTAAGGCTAATTCAAAAGGGTTTCTGTTTTCTTTTGAAAAAGGGGGGTGGGAGGTGGTGGTTAAAGAAGGGGTTTTTTTCCCTTTTGTTTTGTGTGTAAGCCTTCTTTTTGTGAAAAGGTAAAATAAACAAAATATTATGTATATACGACGATGAAGACCGAGTGCCATGTTAAAACAAACACACGGGTTGCCACCACTTGGAAAATGAGCGACGCTTCTGTCACAAGTTCACGTCAACATCCATAGTTACTTTGTTAAATAGATTACTTTTCTTCTTCTTCTTCTCGATCGCATTACACTTGATGTTTGGTATCTGTCATAAATTGGGCCATCCTGCTCAGTTCATCTGTCGGCCCGTATCATGATGGTGCCTCTAGTAGCTGGGGAGGACCCCTTCAAGGCTGGGGGCCCGGCACTGCATCTGCCTGGTAGGTCCTCAGAGGGGAGCACCATCTAAATTTACAGACTTTAAGTGTCATTTTTGCAGTATTACGGGGTATTGTGGTTCTCTAGAGTGCGCCTTGTGGTCCAATACCTCAGTTTTTCACATATTCACAGCTAACCTCCATTACAGTGGCCGTTCCCTATCCGCCACCTGGAACCAACCGGTAGGGGATGATTGCCCCAGCCCGGGTTACAGATTAGATATTTAAACAAAACAGTCATCAGTCACCCCACACACGATTTGTGCATGAGTTGTGGGCGGGGCTTTTATAGGTTATGACGGATCACGCTTCCCTCATCAACAGTTGAAAATTCGTTGCTAGGCCTACCCATAGATCAACTAGGGCAAACATTCATTCACTGGAGGGAAGGAATTCTGTAACGAGCGACCACCCCAACAAACACAATAAAGAAGAGGCCTAACCCTAACCCTACCCCTCAATTCTACTCTGTCTCATAGTGGTCGCTCGTTACGGAAGTCCTCCACACTGGAAGGACTTAAAATAACGACAGGTGAATGAACTATGACAGCCCGTCCACAGCGTGAGGGGCCGATTAAAAATTGGCCGACACTATTTCTCCGAACGTTCGGGAAAATAAAGCTAGGCACTATTTCTCCGAACACTCTGAAATCACATCCTTTCCCGCAAATTTCGGATAAATATAGAGTATAGGCCTACCAAAGATTGTTCGTATACAATATGGTTCAATCGGTCCAAAAAAGTCCGCAGTAAATATTTATAAAGAAATGCTACAGTTCCAAACAGTTTTTCGTCATGACGTGTTGCCTATGAAGGGTGCTGCTCTTAAACTTAATGTGTTGTGTTCATTCGTGTGCTGTCTAGATCTAGATCTACGGAGGGTTATTGATAATGACACATAGAACTAGCTTCTGCGTTTGTCGCGGCCACGACCAATCAATCGCGGCTCCATTTTTTGGCATTTTTTTGGTCGGGGAATAAAAGTCAAATTAAAAAAAAAAATTTTTTAAAGAAAGAAACCGAAACCTCTTTACTTTTGAAAGAAAGTTCACTTAGGTCTCTTTCTCACTTGTTGTCACCACGTTGATTTGTTGAATACGTTAAAGTTACTTTTATTTTCCCTCTTTGACGCTTTGTGGTGTTTTATTTTGTTAGTGTGTAATTTTTTTTCTTGTTACTGTTCTGATGTGTTGTTTTTCTACCATTTTTTTGTTGGGGAAAGGAGGGGGGGGGGGGGGGTGTTGCACAGTGTAACGTCATTTAATTTGATGTTCCTTCCTTCATTAGATTCTAAATATATATATACATGTATATATATAGATTTAAATGTTTTATGTTAGAGCGTACGTTCCACCAAAACCGATTACATGTACTGACACTGGCAGGCCCCTTAATGTGTGTGATTCCATAATTTACATGTAATATCCTGTACTTAAAAAAAAAAATTAAAAAATTACGCGACGCACTTTTAGGGTTAAAACAGGCAATTTTTTTCGGTCAGGTTGACACACACCCTTATTTGTTTATTTTTGTGGGTGTTTATGGGCTGTTCGACTAATTTTGATTTCATTCTGTTGTGAAACCTTTCTTTTTCACGTTTTTACACTCATCTAAAAATCTCTAGACTAGCTCTTGAAAATTGAAATAGATATAGACCCAAAAATTTGCTCCTGTGTGTGTGTGTCTACTCATGTGCGTGTGTGAGTGTGTCTGTGTGTGGTAGTAAGTGTGTAAGTGGAGAGTGAGGAGTGTGTGTGTGTTTCGGGCTTTATTTCAGCCTTTATTCAGTAACAGTTCAAAGTATACAAAAATAGAAACACAGGATCTATTCACTTCAGGGCTCATGAGTCGTTCCTCTCTTTCAGTTTCACTCATTCGTTCAATTCCCGTTTTCTCTCCCGCGGCTCATCCCCGTCCTCATGACTGTCACACCCCACCCCCTCCCTCCAGGCACACACAAAGAAAATCTCACTCATTCCCTTGCACCCTGCGAACCATGGGGGGGGGGGGTCGGTGTCGTCGTCTTGTAGGCTAGTTGCTGTCGCCTGTGGATACACTCGTAAATTCTACCTTTCACCCGCTCTGTCACTCACACTGTCTCTCCATCCACAACTCAGCTCGTCATACGTTCAAAAGTTGCCCACTGATCATGTTTAGTTAGTGTGTGTATAAGTTTGTGTGTGTACATGTGCATGATGGTGGTGGGTGTGTGGTGTGTGTTACTGAAGGTTGTATGTAGGCGGGCTTGCCATGCGGTGTTCCTTCCCAGACCAGAGGCAGAATGAAAGTTGGCGCCGAACTCTCGCAATAAATAAGCAAAAAATCACGAGACCGGAAGCCGGAAACCGTTCGGAGAAATAAAGATCGGCACTATTTCTCCGAACGTTCGGAGAAATAGTCACTTCGTTAAAAATTTGTGACAAAGCGTCCGGCAATAAGGGACCACGCCTGGCTGCTTGACGTAGGTAAATTTGAGAGTGGGATGATAAAATAAGGTGGCTGCGGCCGTGTCGGACAGTTGACCGTTTTACACAGTTAAATTATGGCCACCTCTATTCTCACCCGGAGTGAAAATAGTGCAGGCGAGTCTTGTGGCTATTCTCACCCGGTGCGCGTTCACCAAATTTTGCGTTCACCCTAAACCACAGAATTCTACACTGTGATAACAGAAAAATTGTAGAATTCTGTGCCGTGAACAAACGTTCCATTACAACTGTAGCCTACTAAAAGCGTACAATTTTGTCTGTGGGCAGTGGAGAGAGAGAGAGAAAGAGAGAGAGGAGTAGCGTGAGAATTTCCGGGCAAAACAAAATGGCGACCCGCGTAGTTCGGCTCGATTCGAAAAGTTAAATAGCCGTAGCATCTTTGTAGACAACCAAATTAATTTACTTTTGTGTTTTAACATCATATTTTAACTTTGTTTTGGTCAATTTGATCGTCCACACCGATAGACAGTATTCAGAAAGAGACAGAGAGAGAGAGAAGAGGGGAGGAGTTGATCTTGCGAGAACTTCCGGGCGGGTGAGAATAGCCACTTACTAAATTATATAGATCTAGGCCTATTAGATCTAGAGAAAAAAATGCAAGTGGGTTTTTATGGAAAGTGGCCGTATTATGCAGGTGGATGTCATGGCATATTCGACTGTATATACCTCTCTGAATTCTACAAAAAAATGAGAAAAAAAGTATAAATAAACCCGATAAAACATTGGAAAGTGGATACCCCTTGAAGACTTACCTGGTAAACTCAGAGGTGACTAGGAGTGAACGGGATGCGCCTGGTCCACCTGTTCCAAGGACTACAAGGTTTATACTTGATGGTGCTTTGTGGGTCTTTTGAGTTTTCACTTGAGACTTCCCCGAAGGATTTTGTGTTCTAGATCTAGCATTGGCAGCAGCTTCAACATTCCCAGAGTTCTTATGATGAGGAGCACCTTTTCCAGCTTTCCCTTTTCTCCTACCCATTGTTGAATGCAAACGAATGAGGCACCCAGTATTGTGGTAATAACAGCAAACAGATTTGATAAGTTTCTCAAATTGGAGCTGAAGATGCGATTTGATCATTGCAGTCCCATTGCATTTGATCATGTTAAGAGTTTCAACTCCGAGAAAAATTAAGGCTACCAACCATGAGAACAATTTTTAGAGAGACACGTCCTTACACTCTATGATATGCAGCATACTCATGTAAGCTAGCACAGCGTTAGTAACCGTATATAATATGAAACACAGCCGTCTCCTGCAATCACTCGTAATAGCAAACACATAGCACAAATTACACACAGCACTGAAATAACTTCACATCAGCTAAGAACAAATATTGAGGAAGGACAACAAACGAAGTGCATGGGAATGGGAAACTGACTGAAGACTAAAACACGAGAGTGAGCTCCCCTAAGAAAAAGGCAATAGTTTTGATAAAGATAAAAGACGAAAATTAATAATAATTTATTCGCGTAATTTAAGACGCACGTCTTTTCACAGTTCCCGTGGGCTCACACAATTCCTTTCAAACAAAACTTAAATGAGAATCAGAACTCTCTACATGTACAAGGGTGCAGACAAAAATTTCGTTTTATTTATATTTTTATCTTCTTCACATCAGCATATTTTCAGTTCCAGTTTTAGTAGAGGTTTTACGGCGCTCGCAATTGCATAAGGTCACATGAGCGCCAGAAGATTAGAGGTGTTACAAGAGAGTAACTAACACAAAAAAGAAGAAGGGGAGATAAGGACGATAGATGTTTGATAGGCACGTGTAGAATTAGAATTCTGTGTTGATAGGAAAGAAGGAGCAAACCACACCAGAGCACCCGTTAACCACCCACAGTATAATTTTATGATATCAAACACTTGGAAAGAAAAATCACCCAAGAAGACGTCCTGGCGATAGAAGTAGAAATCAAACCTCATATGCCCTGCTTATTCAGAAACGTTTTAGAAACGCAATTAAATCATTTAAATCACTGCCAGGAGCAAACTGTGATAGTGACCATGTACGAGTCATGTGTAAAATGCAGATGAGACTGAAGAAACTTAAAAAGTCAAAGTACCAACCAAAATTTGACATAGATCGCTTTTAAAGACTAATCAAGAGCTGGAAGAACGTTTCTGCATAGATGCGGGGACTAAGCTATAAATTTCAAACTCTGGAAAACATTACTAAATCGGAAGAACTATGGGGGGAAATGAAAGACTCAAGCTGTGGAAGAAATATCCCCCTGAAAGCTAAAAGAGCAAATAAAAAATGGATGACCCAGGACCTATAAAACTAATGGAAGAGAGAAGACAGGCATAATCAAAAGTGGAAAAGTACATCTTACACAGGGAAATAAAGAAAAAATGCAACGAAGCAAAAGAAACATGGATAAATGACAAGAGTCAACAAATAGGAAAGAACCAAAAACAAAGACTGCAAATACATGCATTCTAAAATCAATAAAGAAGTAAGTGGGATAAAAGGATGCTCAAATACAGGATGCATACGATCAAAAGGAGGATATATTTTGATGGACAATGGGGATGTCTTAAACAGATAGTTAGAATACATTGAAAAACTTTTCAAAGATAATAGAGGAGAAAAACCGGTGATAGAGAATGAAATAAAAGGACCACCAATACTGAAAGCAGAAGTAGAAGCTGAAAAATGAAACAAGGAAAGGCCACAGGGCCAGATAACATTATTCCAGTTGGAAGTGATTGTCGCGCTGTAAGAACTAGGCACTGAAATTAACTGAAATAACAACAAAGCTCCTTCGGTGAGATCCCAGAAGATATGATGAAGTCAGCCTTGTGAGTCATTTTACAAAAAAAAATATTGCTGCGAGTACTAATGAGAAGATTGAGAAAACGTGTAAAACCAGAGATATCTAAAACGTAATTCGGCACCAGAAATGCAATATTCACCTTAACAATGTTAATGGAAAGATGTATCGAAACACAGAAAGATCTGAATTTATGCTTCAGATTATTCAAAGACGTTCGATAAAGTTAGACGTGATGAGCTATTTAAAATACTGGAAAGGCTAGACATAGATGGAAAAGATCTAAGAATTATCAGGAATTTGTACTGGGACCAAAACGCTGCTGTACGAATTAATGGAGAAAACAGTGAATATAAACAGATTAGGAGAGGAGTCGTGAGGCAAGGATGTGTTAAGTCACCAGGCCTCTTTAACATGTACAGTGAAACATTCCTTAGAAACATAGAAGAATGTCCAGGTCTCAAAGTAAAAGGAGAAAATATTAATTACACCAGATATGCTGATGACACAGTTTTAATAGCAGACTCAGAAAAGGCTCAAAAGGACCTTCAATTGCTTCTAGGTACTGTTGTAACAGACTTACTTTACTTTACTTTTTTCTTCCGCTTATACCGGTTGGTGTCGCGGGGAGACACAGGCGTCTGTCTGCAGCAAGGCGAGTGGCCTGTAGGAGGGACATCCCGTGAGCTCTGAGGGTGTTTGCCACAGATTCACTCCATTGTCGCCTTAGTCTTCCTCTGGCTCTCCGTCCCGAATATTTAATGTTGTATGCTCTCAGAGCTGGATGGTTTGAGGGCATCCACGTGAGGTGTCCGGACCACTTGACTTTTTGTTTTTCAATGTGCGGTAGGACTAGTGTTGCTCCTACGGTATCCTTTATGAATTCAATTTTTATGTTGTCTCTTCTTGTTTTGTTGACCGCTCTTCTTAAGCATTTCATTTCGCATGTGACCAGTTTCCTCTCTAGGGCTTTTGTTTAGGGACCATGTCTGGCACTGATATGTGAGTGTTGGAAGGAAAATGGTGTTGATGATTTTCGCCTTGGTGCTCATGGGGATACTGGGATGTTTCAGGAGAGGGTCGAGTTGATAGCTCACTGCGTTGGCTTTCTGGCATCTAGTCTCTATTTCTCGATCTAATTTTCCATTTTCTGTGAAAATGCTGCCCAAGTATTTGAATTCGCTGCTTTGTTTTAGTTGGGATCCACTGATGTTGACATCCACTTTTTCTGGTCTCCTGCTAATTGTCAAGACTTCGGTCTTGCTAATACTGATCTTCATGTCATATTTCTCGCAGCTCGCATATAGTTGGTTCATATGCTCCTGTAATTGGGTCTTGTTGTTCTTCATTGCCAGGTCGTCTGCAAACACGAGTTCGTTGAGTGCATCTGGGTCTGGATTGGCCTCCTTTGTAATCTGGTTCATGTAGATCACGAAGAGCAGAGGGGAGAGATTGCAGCCCTGTCTGACTACGGATGTTACTGGAAACCAGTCCAATGTTCCACTGGTAGTGCGGACTGCGCTTCTGCTGTTGGCATAGATAGCCCTGATGTTGTCTAGCAGTTGTCCATTGATGTCGTACTGCTCCAGGATCTTCCATAGCTTGTTTCTATTTACTCGATTAAAGGCTTTTTCTTGATCCACAAATACGAGATGGAGATCTTGGTCGTATTCCAAAGCCCCCTCACACAGTTGTCGGAGTGCAAAGATTGCATCAGTGCACCCTCTTCCTTTTCTAAAAACCAAACTGGGCGTCACTGAGAAAATGTTCTGCTTTTGCGCGAGTGCGTCGCTCTAGGATCTTTGCATACATTTTCCCCCATGGCCGAGAAGAGATATGCCTCTGTAGGTGTTGCAGTCTTTCTTGCTGCCCATTTTCTTCCATATTGGCACCACTATCGCATTTTGCCAGTCTGCTGGTACTTTTCACTCTTTCCAGGCTTTCTGGAAGATGATTATAAGCCAATGTATTTCGGTTTCACCTCATGCAAGGATTGCTTCGGTTGTGATTCCATCGTCTCCAGCTGACTTGTTCTTTAGACCAGTCTTCAGTGCTTCTCTCACTTCACACTCTAGGATGGTAGATTCTGAGTGGTCTGGGTAGTTGGCGGTGAAGGGGCACTGTGTGTTTTGTGCCTGTACTACTGATGGGTTTAGTAGTTCTTGAAAATATTTTTCCCATCTCTTTATTATTTCCTTCTCTTCGTGTAGAGCTGCTCCATTAGTATCGTTGATGACAATGGTGGGTACATAGGGTTCGTCTCTCACTCTCATTGTCTTCACCTTCTTGTAGAACTCTCTTTGTGAGGTCTTGCAGGTTTCACTTAGTTTTTCGCCATACTGGGTCCATGACTTTTCTTTTGATGTTATAACGACTTTCTTGCTGTGTCTTCTTGCAAGTCTATATTAAAAGTAGTCCTCTTCATTTTTTTTTACTTGACCCATACATTATACAGTCTCTTTTTTCCCTGATAGCATCCTTAACTTCTTCGTTCCATCAGACTGTTGCTTTTCTGTGTTTTCCTCTTGTCTTCTTGGTACCACAGACTTCTTTCGTAGTGTCCAGGAGACTGGTTTTGAAGGTGTCCCAAGCTTCCTCTATGGTTAGTATTGTAGAGTTGATAGAGCCTAGCTTTTCATTTAGGGTGCATCTGATCTGAGCCTGCACCTGATCATCTCCAAGTTTATGCATTTTCAGTTTCTCTTGCTGTCTATTACGGGGTTTTTCTTTTGGTGG